TAGGGTGGGTTTGGGGTTGGGGTCAGGGTGGAGGGCAGAGTTGGGGATATGGTTATGGTGAGGGTTGGGGTTGGGGATGGGGATGGGGATGGGGTTGGGGTCAGGGTTGGGGTTGGGGTTGGGGTTGGGGATGCTGCTGCTGATGTTGCTGTGCTGCAGGTTCCACCGTGGGGATTACACCGTGGAGGTGAGCATCAATGACTACCTGGACATCTACTGCCCGCACTACGAGGAGCCGCTGCCCGCCGAGCGCATGGAGCGCTACGTCCTCTACATGGTGAACTACGAGGGCCACGCGTCCTGCGACCACCGGCAGAAGGGCTTCAAACGTTGGGAGTGCAACCGCCCCGACTCACCCAGCGGACCCCTCAAATTTTCGGAGAAGTTTCAACTCTTCACCCCCTTCTCTTTGGGTTTCGAGTTTCGCCCCGGTCACGAGTACTACTACATCTGTGAGTGTGGATAGCACCCGTGGCACTGCAAACACTGCACAGCCCTAAAACAGCACCCACACACAGAGCATCCCCTGCTTTAACATCCTCCTCCAGAGCTGCAGGAGGAGAACCACAGGGAGAGAGATGGGAGCAGAGTAACAGAATGAAAATAAATGAGCGCCCGCGACCCCGGCGCCCAGCGTGGCACAGGAGGCACCGCCGCCGCTCTCCTCGCCGTGCTTATCTCCATTATTATTTCTCCCCCTTTTTTCCTATAGCATCTGTTTGCAGCCCACTTAATTTGTTCCTTTTATCTATATTAAATTACCATTTGCCCCCCTCCTCACCTCGCTCTTTCCCCCTTGCAAAATGTCACTGGCGAAATAAGCGTGTCCACAACTCTTCTCTTTCCACCCCCCTCCGCCCTCCGTGCCCCGATTTATTTTATATATATATATATATTTTTTTTTTAATTTTTTATTTTATTTATTTATTTTTTATTATTTCTAACGTCGTTAGGGAGAGATTACACAGAAGTAAATGGTGAAGCTGATCATTGCTAAACCGGTTAGGATTCATGTCATGCGGAACATTAGAAATTACGCCTCTTTGAGGCGCCGTATTTAGCAGACATGAAAGAAAAGAAATTACCTCCTCCTCGAGCTCGCAAATTGGAATGCCATTAACCTCCCGGGCACGGGGATGGAGGCCGTGCTGCTGCGTTGGGTCAAGGGCACGTGGGGACCCTGGGGACAACACAGAGCCGTGACCTTCCCCGAATGCTGAAATCACAGCACAAGGGAAGGACAGAAGAGGGAAAGGGGAGAAGGGCTGCGTGCTGCCCCGAGCTGTGTCCCAGAGATGGGGGTGGTGGTGGCATGGAGTTGGGGGGACAGGTAGATGTACCCCCCCCCTCACCCCCCCATCCCCAAAACCCCCACCGGCTGCTCTTCTGTGAGCCAGGTCCCAATTCCCCCCTCCTTGCAGCTCGGATGAAACTTTATTGTGAATAATGCTCCTTTCTCTCCTTTAATTCAAAAAAAAAAAAAAAAAGAGAGAGAAGAAAAGAGAAAAGAAAATTAAATTCCTTTAAAAACATGTATATAAAAATCACATTTTCTCGTATTGAGCGGGGACTTTCACCAAGGTAATTATTGCAATTGCTCCCATTGTCTCTCCCAGTGAGCTCTGCTTCGCTCTGCCTTCTCCTCCTCCTGCCATGCAGACCCATTGAGCTCTGCCCCACGATGGACGGAACCACCGGGGCACCTCTGCCCCCACAGAGCCCCCAGCCCCACCTTCTGCATCCCCCCCCTGTAGCTGTGTGCCCCCTATGGGGCTGCTGCAGCTGAGCATCGAGGCTGTGCCACGTTGGGTCTCTGCTGTGAGCCCCCACAATGCAGGGGGGGGGGGTTCCAAGCTGCTGTTCTGCTCTCACCCAGCCACTTCTCTCTGCTTTGTGCTCCTCTGCAGCTGCATCTCCCCCGAACGTGGTGGACAGACCCTGCCTCAAGCTGAAGGTTTACGTTCGGCCGACGAGTAAGTGATGCATGGGGCCACGGCCACGCACCCATAGTGGGAGAGATGACATACATTTGGCCCCGGGGGGGGGGAAGATGTGGGGCAGGAGCCATTTGGAGAGCCACGTCCCATCCCTGCAGCACAGCGGTCCCCAAGGCTGGGGGCTGGGGGGTGGCACATGGCCGAGGTCGCTGCCCGCTGGGTTCCAGATAGAGGGAAAAAAATGATAATCTCTGCACAGTGGCTACTTTTCAGAATCAAATAACTCAGCCATTTAAAAAAACAAATTAATAATTTTCTTCTCCTGTTAACGTGTAATTAGCAAATGGCAGCAGCTCTCCCTGGGGAAGGGCTGAGTGCCTGCGAAATGTCACCATTTAAAAGGATGTCTTTCTTTTTTTTTTCTATTTGCATGGCTTTAAAATAAAACCCAATATAATGAAACCATCTGTAAAAAATCATTCTGTTTTGTTCAGGACTAGGGCATGACGGGGGGAACCTATCTCTCCCGATATCATTTTTTTTTTTTTTTATACTATTTTTAATAATGTCAGCATTACATTACGCGGGTGCCTGGCTGAGACGTAGGGCTGCCTTTGTGCAGTGCAGTGAGGGCAGTTTTCTCCCCATTCCTTGGGGAGATCTGTTTGGTGCTGAGGGTTGCTCCCTGTGCCACACATCCCTGGCACGGACCCTGCAGGAACGGAGAGCTGTGTGAGGGGCAGCGCTGCTTTCCCTGGCCATGGCTCTGTCCAGATCTTTAATCCAGTGATCAGCGTGAGCAGGCAGAGCCCGGGGAGAGCGTTAAGAGCTTGAGTCATCATTTGACTCGTAGAGCCGAAGGCGCCGCGCTGCTGGGCCAGCTCCAAGCCTGGCTGCTGTCCGAGCTGCTCGCACTTTGGATCCCATCCACCTCGTGCAGAACTGCCTGCACGTTTGGCACACAGGGACAGGACCCCCACCGCGTCCCCTCGGTGCCCAGCCCTGCGCAGGGACATTCTTTGGGAGCCACAGAACCCCGTGCGCTGCTCCATCAGTGGGCAGAGCCCTTTAGTTTGAAGGATCCCATTATTTTTTGGGTACACAGGGGTTTGGTGCCTGGCTGTGAGGCTGAGCTCCCTGGGCACGCAGCACCCATCCGGACCCCAACCCATTATGGTGCCATGTATCCACGGTGCCAGGCAGGCTGCGCCAGCTCACGCCTTTCCTCTCTTTCCTTTTTGCAGACGATTCCCTCTATGAGTCCCCAGAGCCCATCTTCACCAGCAACAACTCGTGCTGCAGCCTTGCAGTGCCGCGTGCCGTGCTGGTGGCTGCGCCGGTCTTCTGGACTCTGCTGGGCTCCTAGCGCCGCGGGACGGACAGACGGACGGGACGGGACACAGCCTCAGCACCATCACAGGACACAACTGGGGCTGCACCACTGCCAGGAGCCTCACTGCACCCTGCCCGACCGCATCCTGCCCTGCACTGCAGCAGGGAACGGGGATCCCGCCGTGCGCACGGATTGCGCCCATCCCTGCGGCAGCGACCCTCCCGTAGGATGCCTGCTTTTTACATTTCTAGACCAAATATAGAGTCCTGTTGGGTGGTTGTTTTTTTTTTTTTGGTTTTGGGGTTTTGTTTTGTTTTGTTTTGTTTTCCTTTTTTCTTTTTTTTTCTTTTTTCTTTTTGAAAGATTTTTTTTCTTTTTAATTTTTGTTGGTTGATTCTGCTCGGGCTGCCCCGTGTCAGACTGACCCAACGCGGGGTCCCTTATGGCACACTGCCCTCGCCCGGCGCGGCGAGATGGATGGACAGATGGATGCAGCACGGTGCCACTCACACACGGGGACAGAACCCCGGATGGACACGAGGACAGCGGGGCAGCCCCGTCCCTATTGCTCACCATTCCCATGGGGCAGCGATGCAGCAGTGCCTGGGGGTCCTGCGTGGCACCAGGAGCCCCTCCGGGCGCTCGGCTGGATCCGGGGCTGGAGCGGGGCAGTGGGCACTGCCTGTGCCTCGCTGGGGCTGGATCTCCCCCCACCAGGATGGAGCAGCCTTTGTGTCTGCGTTCTCCTCCTCCTCCTCGCTGCCTCCCAGCACAGCTCCACCATCGGCATCATCCAGGGGGTGCAGATGGGGCCACCACACAGCCGTGCCCACGCTGCCCCCAACGGCTTTGGCTTCTTCTCCTCTTCTTTTTCTGCACCCGTGTGGAAATCCTGATCTGCCGTCAGCCCCACAGCACGGGGCTGGGAGATGAACCAGAGAGGGGCCCGACCCCTCCTCGCCTTAAATCCGGGACTGTGCCCCCCCCCACCCCCAGGGGGGGCTCACGATGGGGACGGCGGCCCCGAGCCCATCCCATGGACACGTTCCCCACTTGGCTTCCCCCATCCCTCCTGTTGGGGTTGGGGTCCCCCCCCCCCTGTACATACAGCCACCAGGCACTACTATACTGTGAGCGTATTTTTTTTTTTATGTATTGTCGAGAATGAATTTTATGGAAGGGTTTATTTTATTTTTATTTGATTATTTTTTATTTTCTAGACTTAGGACTTGCTGAAATCTCTGCAATAAGCTCATCTCGAATC